GTCTCTCTACTAGTTGTTCTTATATTAATTAGTGCTCCATCATACATATATCTCACCAAGTTAATGTGGTGTCTGAGGACTCATTTCTTTTTTAACACCTATTAAATTAAATTTCAAAATACTATCATAAATTTTCTCTAGATCAGTAAAGACCATGTGGAGGTCTTTCCATTCACCTTAAACGTCTCAATCAGTTGCCTAAGTAGGAGAATATCATCGATTCTTCATAATCATTTAGTTGCCTAAGTAGGAAAAGAGCCTCGATTGTTGACCTCTCTTGCATAAAACCGAATTGGTTTTTTGACACACTCATTTCATACATTAGTCATTGCTCAATAACTTTCTTCCATAGCTTCTTACTGTATTTCATAAGTTTGATCCTCGATAGTTCGCACAATTCTGTATGTGTTCTTTGTTCTTGTAAATATATATCATAATACTTTTCCTCCAATCATTAGGTATTTTATTTATTCTCAACACATTGTTGAACAGTTTGGTTAATCAATTATTGCCGATCTCTCCCGTGCACCTCAAAACCTCTATCATGTTACCGTATAGTCCTGAAGCCTTTTCTATATTTATCCCCTTCAAAGCTTCTTTCACTTATGATAGTTTAATTTTACAAATATATCTATGACCTCCACCCTCATTCATGACAATAGTTCTTTCTATCGTTTTGTTTCCATTGTGTTCATCATTTAATATTTTTTGAAAATAAACTCTCCACCTTTCCTTGACCTCGGTAGTTTTGCAATATTACGGTATGCTTTGATCTTTTCCATATTTTACACGAAGGTCCTACTCTCTCTTATATTTTATTTTTTTTCAATTTTGCCCCTCGGGCCAACATCGGCCTACTTATTTATTTTAATTTTTTATTTTATGGTTTGTACTCTATAGTGATGTCCAGTGGCTTGGACGTCTGATGTTTTGAATATCAAATAACACTATAGTGGGCAGTTTGATGTTAAAGAACTCAAATTTTTTGCAGTCCGGTGTTACAACTAGCATCTGATATTAGTGATAACGGACAATGCCAAAGTGAAGTTTTTACCGGTCCGATGTTTGAAACATCAAACTAACATGTAATAAGCCTTCAATCGATCGAAAATCCCTACAGACCAAAAAATAAATAAATCAAAAAAAGAAAAGAAAAGGGGTTGGGGAAATTGAAAAACAATAAAATGGAAAGAGTAGAACCTATGCATACAATATAAAAAACGTTCATCATTCTATATCTCAAAAGTATTAGTATGTAATCAAAATAATGTAAAACATGCATGACAAAGTGCCCTGAGCTAGTACGGTGAAATTCTGCTCTTATTCAACGTGCATGGCACGTCTCTTGCTGGTATAATACAATCCTCCTGATACGTTTGGAATGCTAGAGATTTTGAAGCAAAAGCGAGATCTCAGCCTTTCTGTATTTTTTTAGGTATTATATACTATATGAAACCATTTATGTTACAATTACTCTTAGCTATTAGATATCAAATTGGATGGATTAAAATGTGACATGAGGTTTGAGAAAATTGTTTTTGAACTTTTTGAATCTAGTCAATGACCCTCTTACAATTACAAAATTTGTAATCTTATGGACAAAGGTGATTTTGACTTCTTTATACTAAAAGTAAACGGTCTCCTTGTATACTTTTTTGTTTTTTGTTTTTGTTAAAGTACGATTTCATCTTCTAAAAGTCCAAATACTCCATTTTTTTGTTTTAACTAATAGCTTGTTACCATTCATTGCATAAGAGAAGTACAACAAACGGGATAAAAGAAAGAAACAAAAGAAAAAAGCAACTACATGGGGAACAGAGGAGGACCTAAGGGACTATTAACGACCAAGCCAGGGAGAAAGAGACCAAATTGGGCGAGAGCATCTGCTTCGGAGTTTCTTTCCCGGTAACAATGGTGAATACTAGCACCGATACCCTACAAGATATCTGAAATTTGATCAAAGAATGGGATAAGCCTCCGTGGGAACTATCTTGCTCTTTTAGCCTATTGTATAACATTAAAGGAGTCACCCTCAACTATTAATTGCACAACATTGTTCTGCGAATGAATCAGGCCCTGAAGCAAAGCCCTCTAGGTTCAGCTTCATTTGCGGCGCATTCAGGAAACCGGTCTTGTGAAAGAAAGTACAGCTCTTCCCAAAGTATCCCTAAGGATACCTGCAATACCAGTTGGGCTAAGATTACATGGAGAACTTCTATCAAAGTTAGGTTTAAGCAAACCAGTGGGGACCATATCGACCTCCTCAAGATGTTCTGACTGAATTAGAGTGAGGGTGTGGGGAGTGTTTAGGATAATACCCAACCTTGAAATACCCTAGCATTGCATCGTAATTGAGGCCCATTCCGTTGTCATGACGAGTAATCTGTCCCTCAATGACTCTACACTCTTGGAAATCCTCTACCAAGTCCTAATAACAGCTGAAACAGTAGTTTTGTAGATGGTTCTACCTATGTTTGGAATAGGAGGAGAGATCCACTGCTCTAGAAAGTGGTTGAAGGAGAGAGGAAGAACAAACTGGAGACCCGGAATACGAAAGCTCAATTGCAAGTAAAATAAATTACTGGACAATGGAGAAAAAGGTGATCCCTACACTTTCCTCTCTTCCTAAGATTATCGATTGTGAGAATTTTGCGAAGTTGTAGAATACAAAAGAAAGCCTAAGGGCTCAGACACATTACCCTTAGATGTTGGTTCTCAAAGATAAAGGTCCTCCTTGCAAATGGCAACAAAGTTATTAGAGAGAAGTTCTTAGAAGTAAATTCCCCTACAACAAGATCAGTAACTCTTTGGTGGCAGCCATGGATATTCCAAATACTCTGATCACCTTGCTGCACCCGTATTTCAGACACTATAGCTTCAGGTCATTGAGAAAGGCGAAAAGATTTGGAAATATAACCCTAAAAAAGAGAGTTACCAATCCATCGATCAAACCAAAATCTAGTTTTGTCAATATCTTTCCACAGGAAGGAAGCTTGGCCGCAATTGTTGAAGTATAGGATCACAGAAAATCTGTGGTTATGAGGCCTTGTTTGACAAATGAGAAAATCAGAAAAAACATCTAAATTTCTCAATTACCAGTACTTTTCCTAGTTTGGGTGCAGATGAAGGTGGGAAAAGCAGAGAAATGTCGGGCCCTGCATTTCTTTGCTTTTCCTGTTTTGGGAAAGTTGCAGCCTGCCCAATTTTCCCAAGACCTAGCCCATCTCTCTCTCTGTCTCTCTTTCATTCTTGATTTTTACAAACATGCTTCCAAACAAGTGTTCCTAGCTTCAAGTAGCCCATCTCTCTCTCTCTTTCATTCCTGATTTCCACAAACATACTTCCAAACAATGTTCGCAAAATCGAACCGGAATGTTTAACTAGACATGGGCCCGGGTTTAACAGGCCTAACTCTCTCTTTTATTCCTGATTTTGACAAACACACGTCCAAACAAGTGTTCCTAGGTTCAAGTAGCCCATCTCTTTCTCTCGCTCTTTTATCCTTCATTTCCACAAACACGCTTCCAAACAAGTGTTCCTAAGTTCAAGTAGCCCATCTCTTTCTCTCGCTCTTTCATCCTTGATTTCCACAAAGATGCTTCCCAACAGTGTTTGGAAAATCAAAATCAAATCGGAATAGTTAACTAGACATGGGACCGAAAGCGGTTTAACAGGGCCTAACCGGTAAACCGGCCAATTCAACCGTTCTAACCGAACAAGTTCCAGACGGTC